TTTTCAGCTGCACGCGCGAGAAATGAAATAAATATATATGTATCGTTAATATCGAAAAGACAAAAGGAGCGAAGGGGGATAGGGAAGGGAAAGGGAAACGAAGACGCAGATAAAAAGAACAGATCCGAAGTGCCAGGATCTTCAGCGCGCGAAACTGAGGGCGTTTAAAAAGATTTCAGCGTAGGTAAAAATTAGCAAGTCCTATCTTGGTCAATATTCGTTAGCCACCTTCGATACAAACGGCTATTAAATATTATTATTATTATTATTATTATTATTTAATTATCAGCTATCCGCAATCCAATATTTATCAAAGATTCTTATAAAACCGTAGATCCGATCTCGATCGTTCTTCTACTTGATTAGAAAAAGGATTGACTTATTTTTACTTATCATCTTTTTCTCATTGAGTTCCTCATTATTAGTTCGCGGTTAACAGGCTATCGCTATTGTTATCAAATCTCAAGTATTAATTCTCAGTTCACATACTTCAAGCACTCACACACCGTCGGTTCGGCTCAAATTCCCATGAAGAAACGTAAGTCTCGCGGGAGACAGAGACGCGAGGCCGGAAAAAGGAATTACCCATATAAAACTCGATAGAATAAAGCAAATAATATATTATTTCGTAAAAGAAATACAAAAATATAAATACGTTTTATTATGCAGAAGGTCGAAGTATATAAAATATCGCAAAAGTGCAGCTAAGAGAAATCGGCACACAAATATTTCTCGATCCGTGAACGAGGAAAATTGAGATTCCACATTTTATTTTCTCAGTGGAACGAAAGTTTGATCATACGATTATGCAATAAATTAACGATTGACCGACACAATTGAGAGCCGTTTCTCGCGCGTTTCCTACATTTCTTCACAATTCACCGCCCGTAGATTCAGGGGTGCTCGCATAGTATTTAATCAAGACTACGGGCCAACAAACGAGACTTTCGAGGGACGGGTGAAGCTCAAAAAAAACGATGATGAGCGAATAAGAAAAGAAAGAGAAAAGAAGAAGAGAAAGGAGAGGTGCGCAAAAACGCAAGAAAAGCAGGGGAGGTTTACGACACGCATCATCCCGATGCAAAAAACTGTACAACTATAATACATTCGTACATCAAGTCGATGCTATAAATAAAATGGGGGGAAAAAAAGCAAGGGGTCCATTTTCGCCTACGTTTCTTTATCACAGGCTACGATAATTTAAGGATCTGTCATATTCGACGGGGGAGGCCGGCCGCCGTCGGGCCGTCCTCGGACAGCGAGAAAGGACAAGCGGAAATCTTAACGGACGTATCGTAGAAAAGTGATTTTTCTCCTCCTCCTTAGGCTTCGCGAGAGAGAAGACGCTCGATGGATAACGCGTATCCAGGGGATGATGACAACGACGACGACAATGACGATGGTGATGTTGTTAACGTTGATATTATTATTGATGTTGATGTCGATGACGGATGACGCTGTGCGAAGGACGTGGAACGTATGGTAATCTCGCAATCGCTACGCGTGCCCGTCGTCGAGTACACATTTCTTCGGGTATCTAATCGCTACATTCGTTTCTTTGCTAATATTGCTTAACCGTTACATCGTGGATGCGAGAATGCGACGAAGCGAGAACACAGTTGCAAGATTCGATGCGACCGTGACCCAGCTCGTTTACAATTTATTAAAATTATCCAATGGTCTTGGAAGTGTCCGAAGGAGAGTATTGCATTTGTCTTTAAAACAGAATTAATTTTTGTTTGAATTAATAAAAGTACATAAATTAAATTGTCGAACTGACACAAAAATATAAGCACTTTAATGTGTGAACCTTGACTCTTCAGATCATTCTTTTAAATAAATTCTCAACTTAAATTTTTTTTGTAATTAATCTCATCATAAGGTATTTGGCATACAATTTAGGGTATCGAGTTGCCACTATAAATGCTTCGAAGCATTAATTTCTTTAAATTTCAAAATTGCAGGACTAAAAATGGCCAATTTTTGCGGTTACTTTTTAATTCTCCTCCTTCCTCAATTATGAGATTTAAAAAACAAAAATGAGTTAAGCCACTATCGCACTCTTCAATCGTCGCAGTATAATTGTACAATTTGTGCTAAATTTTTGAATAAACAATAGTTTAAGAAATGGTCGCTAACTTTTGAGAAGTATTATACAAAACACGCATTTGTTGCAGTATTGGCGAATTGACAAAAATTCCAGTTAGAAAATTACAATATTAAAACTACAGTATTTTTCGTAGATATTGTTACCTTGATATTAAGGAAATTCTAATAACGTGGAAAGGCGGAGACAATCTATTGACTCTAAGACAGATATACGCAATTTTTAAAGGATTAGACCAAGGCATTCTACAAAATTTCTCCAATTTAATTGCATATCGCGATCCTATTTAGTAAATCAGAAATGCAATTGAAGAAATGATTAGATCAACGTAGAAAGAAAAAAATCGATATTTTTTTTTGTAAAATAGCAGATATTTAAAAAATAATTTTGCTTCAACTCTTCAAAGTTCAAAAAATTAACTTATATTTATACAAGTATACTAAAGAGCACGAGTACACAAAAATATTTAGGCAAGCTGGAAGAACACAAAAAAAAGATTTCAAATATAATTTATTGTATTAAATAATTAAAAACTATTACTTATACTAATAAAAATATACTTTCAATAAAAAGTATTCTTTCTTATATTTTTGTAACTTGTTCCAAAGAAGTTTTTGAGTAAATGTAAAAAAAAACAGTTATGTCGTAAGATAAAAAAATGAGTTATTTGTTCAGCAATTTGCTCCATTTTTGTTCGGTAATTTGTTCCATTTTTGTTCAGTCTTCTATCTTTGTCTTATAATTGATCAGTTTTCTAAAAAAGAAAGTAGATAAAAATTATCTTCATTTTTTCTCAAGTAGTTGCTGGTCTAATTCTTTAAACAGTTTACACAACGAAATAGTTGGTGCAAATCGATTTTATTCGTGGGAAAAAATTCCTAAGTGCTCTAACTCAATTATCTATTCGATACACGTAAAATAGACAACATGTAGAATAGACAGAGATAATTCTGAGTACCGAAATCTCCCAAGCGAGCGTTCCTAACTACTCCGACATGCGCCATTTCGCTCATCATCGTCGTCGACGTGAATAGGTCGTTGACGTCTTTTTTTCGGCGCGATGTCTTTCGACGTCTTTCGAAATCCCACACGTAAAACATCGACGTCTTTCCCTACTTATATTTTAAGAAACATTATACAATTACGTACGTACGAATGTATAAAATCTGTTTTTCTTTTTACGACTAAATGGGGAATGTACGATCCGTGCCTTCTTTCTTCCTCCCGTCGCGCGCGTCCTCGCGACGCGTCGATTATAGAAATATCGTTACAATGATTTCCTTACAAATACAGAGCGGTTGAGTTTGCGAGACGCACGTTTCCCACAAGAGTCCGTATTGATAGAAAAAAATCTCTCTTTTCTTAACTCTTTCTTTTGTAAGACTCTTAAGATTTTCCTCGTGAATTTTACTCCAAGATTACAGACTCTGTTCGATTGAAACGCGTCTCTCGCGAAACTATAAAGTAACATCGACGTTCCTTACAGGAATGTTTGCGATTAATCTTCGGGTTACAAAAGTGTATGTTAATGTGTGTGTGTGTGTGTGTTATGTGTGCACATTGTATGTGTACTGTTCCTTTTTTTTTATTCATAATGGCTCCAACATTCAGAGGCGATATTTAAGTATCTCTCGGCAATACACTGCGACCGCGAATGCTCGCGGTCGGCTATTAAATGACACGCTTACTTTCGAATGTTGAGCCGCCAAAAGGCATACATCTGTCGTTATGATCGTTAACATCGAGTTTAAGTTATGGCACACCTACGAAAATGACCCGCTGGATCCGCGGATTCGTGTGAATTTAAAGCAAACAGCGACAAAATAAATTAATGTGTGCGCGACCGATTAAATATAAAAAGTTAGACGGTAGTTTTCTTTCATTTAACTGAATCATCGGTCTTGGATCCTTTATGCGCGATAGTAGCGTGCTAATAAATACTTTCTGCGTTTTTTTTTTTTTGCAAAGATACGAACGACGAAACGTGTTCCTTGCGTGAACTTCTTTAACTCGTGAAAACAAAAGTCTATGAATTTAATGTCTTGTGTTTTACAAATTTCGTATGCATCGTTAAAATTCTATGTACATATCCGCCTTAAGAAACCCTAGTATTGTTTGTAGCTCTAAATATTTCTTAAGTTATTTCGATTCCACTTTTATGTTTGTATGAGCTGCGTGTATGAAATGCTTTCCCTTCTTTATCCTTGTTTGCTTTCGCATGTTATCGCTATCTGACATTGTGCAATTACATGTAACGTTTTTCGTGTTTCTTTTCATCGTTTTTACTTTATCATCTTTTTAGACGGAATGAATATACGGATTGTATCGTCGTTTGAGTTCGCTCGGCCCTGACACACGGGATAAAAACTGTTTAAAAATTCTTGCATGATAACCAACATCGATAGAAATGCAAAAGTAAAAACACTCGATTTGTGCATTGACCGAAAAAAAACATGCTAAAAGTTCTGGCATTTTTGATATCGTTGCTATATAATATATAATATTCGACGATAAATCTCGTTTTATATACGCTTAGTATCTTTCGTAAATGTGGGCTGGACACACCCTCCTTTAAATACTAAGAACAGTCTCTTTAACGAGACTACATTAATGTCATTACTCTTTGCGCTCAGCACTTTCGTTCTTGGCAATGTGGACAAGAAGACACGAAGAAAGAGAACGGAAAAACGGAGCAAAAAAAAAAGCGAGTAAAAAAGCAACATCGATCTTACTTTCTTAATAACTACATAAAGAGCTAATCGCTATTATCAAATATCGAGTCGTACATCCCTAATACAATATTAATAAATACATCGCTCTGGATACATCCAACATGATACATGCATACTGTTATGACACATGGATTGACTCTTAATATTCTTGTATTATCTGATCCGCGCACGCGAATAACCATTATCTTAGGACCATCAATCGATCGATTCCACGAGAAAAAATCTTGCTTGTCGCACATTCCGGAAATGAACGAATGTGAATAATTAAACTTAAATAGAGACTTTGTTCGTCCACGTTGCATCTACGTGGAACTTGTAGTAGTTGTATTACGAATGCTAAAGCGAGTTTAATATTAATAACTAACAAACTATATTTTGAGACCAATCGTTTACGCCTGTATCGCAACTGTTGACAACGTATAAAAGAAATATCGGGTTATTTCACGAAGCAGGCGCGCTATTGTGAGGTCTCGGCTGGACGCGTCGCTTCTACCACCGCTGTTCACAAGAAATACTGCAGTTTCGCACGAACGCTGAGAAGTATGCACTGCACACTTAGGTAATGCGTTTCGTCACTACACCATCACAACAGCGTCCTCACCACAGAACAGGAAGGGATACTGATCGATCATCGTCTGGACTACGTCTTCCAGGTACGGCCTCATAGCTTCAAATCTGCCGAGGTCGTTGAACTCGATCGGTAGTAAGGTAGGCCACCAACAAATCGCTAAGTTCTTGCTGTCCATACTATTAAGTTTACAATTCTCTGCAACTCTGAAGACGTATAAATTTAAATTATAGTATAAATGTAAATTATAAAGATAAGGAAAGGCACGATATTAAAATATGAACGATTTATATCTTCACAATTATATATCTTTATAATATTCACTTACTTCACGAAGTGCTGGAAGATAAATTTAAGAACGTCAAAGTTTACTGGATTTAACTTGTTGAGCATCATACGCAAGGCTAACAATCTCCCGCTTCGATCTGCAATCATTCCAAATTTTGGAATTTAATCTTAATATTGAATCATACGACTCTCTCTTTCTCTCTCTATTATCTATAAAATAGAAATACTAACCTTCCATATTCATGCAAGTCGCCGACATAGGTTTGCTAATACCTCGTGCACCTGATATATATAGGCATAATGTGTACTTAAAAATACTTTGATTTTTGTTAATGTAATTTTTTGTTAATTGTAATGAAAGTTTAATGACATAATAGACATCTAAGAACTTTTGAAAACAATTAAAATCATTTTTATAAAATGATGCTTAAATTTTTATAATTTTAAAATTAAACTTACCCGATATATCTTCCAATTCGCTCATGCGTTCTTTATCAATAAGCGGTGGTAATCTCTTGGAAAAGAAGTCTTTCAGGGCTGTAGCGACAGCATTTACAGGAATATCCAAAGAATGTATGTCGACATTACCATCTACGAGTTAGAAAAAAAAATATAGTTATATTACTCATCATACAAAACACAGAGCATCAATTTGATTTAAGGAGGAAAAATAAATAAAATGTATAGAAAATATAATTAAGATAAAAAAGTTTTTAATAAATAATATACCTTCTTCGAACTTTTGGAAAAGTAATTCCACGTGTGCACGATTACCAGGCACCCTATATATCCCTTCCGAATCCAATCCCTCGTCTTCGACAAATCTAACGCACTTCTCGAGAAACAAAGGTATCCGATTCGTTTCGCTCTGCGCAAAATCCTCAATCAAGGGTTGTGACTGACTCGAGATTGGTGTTCCTCCCGGGCCTTTGGTCTGTTTTATTTTCTCCTGTTTCTTCTTTTCTCTTTCTTTCTCCTTCTCCGCATGCTTTTTGAGTTTCTCCTCTTTTTGCCTTCTTTTCTCTAACTTTTCGTCTTCTTTTGCCTTTTGTTTATCTTTCTTTCTAGTTAACTTGTCACTGTCCTTCGACTTGTTCAATATACCGAACTAAAAATCAAGCAATGCAAGTTAATTATATGCGCATTCCGCAATATCGATTTATATTATATACGTTACAAACTTACGCTGGGAGAATTAATTTCACGCGGCGAAGAAACATCTAGACTTGATTCATCATCTGGAAACGTATTTTCACCTCTGTGTTTGGCTAAAATAATAAGTTTCATGCAAGTTAACGAAAGCATAAACACTGCAACTTTAATTAAAACATATTAACTTGTGTTATATTAAAAAATTATATTAATTAAGAAGCCTCAATTTCAATGAAAATATAATATGCTTTATAACATGCATATACAGTTAAATACACTCGTTAAATTAGAGACTTCAAGTTGTATTAAATAATTCGTTCAAATTAATTAGAAACTTCTCTCGACACTAATTATATTATTATAAAATATATCAATCACGATAAAACATTTTAAATAAATTGTAACAATAAATATCCTTATTAAATTAAAATTCATCACGTTACTTACAAGAGGCGCTAAACATCTCCTGCGTCATATGTTTCATATTAAACGGGTGTTGTAAGTATTGCTGTTGCAAAGAATTTCCGGAAAATCTTTTTCGCAGACTAGCTGCTGCATATTTATATTGTTTCGATCTGGACCTCGATGTATGTTCCGGATCGCTTGATTCAGAAGAATCGGGTGTTTCGCTAGATACTGAAAAGACAGAGATGTTTCACTAAATATCACCATTCACAAGATGTTTCACTAAATATCACCATTCACAAGAAATCTATAATTATACATATATACTTGAGAAAAAAAAAGATAAAAGAGTAAAAAATTTTACCTCTCTCTGTAGGATCAATACGCCAATTTTTCTCTTCTTTCATGTTATAGTTGAGGCCGACTATACCATCCCCGCTACCCATGCTGGCTAATGATGGCACTTTTGGCGTCGCGACCGGTATCGCAGTGCGTTTCTTGCGTATTCGTTTGTGCGATGAAGGTTTTTTATTCCCTTTGCCCAAGATGTCTGTCGCTCTTTGTCTCTCCAAGGAACTCCACTCCGAGTCAGAATCACTGTATGCTGTGTGTTTGCGATAATAATTATTTATGAATAATTGTACATAAACTCAACGGTCAAGAGATTTCTAATATAAGAAGACGAGATCTTACATGGCTGTCCTTTTTCGCGTCGGTGACGCAACTTGGATTTGTTGTTGCCAATAGAATCTTGCACCAAAGCGTACATATAATCGCCATCATAGGCGGAGTACATGTTCGGAACAACGTCTTTCACTTGGGCGTACTCTGAGCCAAGATCTACCAGTTCCGGAGTGGCGAGAGGAGCGTGACCCATTGTTAATTTCGGGCCGTGTTCGTCCTTCTCGCCGATCGTCATTCTGGCTATTACGTCCGTTACATTAGAAAAGTCTTTCAGATTAATTTTCCCAGGTTGTTTCAAGGTCTGACTGTTGCCTTTTGGTCGTGGCTTAGCCTGGGAAATGTACCGTCGACCTGTCGTAAAAGCTCTGTGCGAGTAACTGTTAGTAACTCCGTCTTGGTGCATAAACGTGTCCTTTACCCAACCTATACAAAGAAAACAAATTTACAACTCGACAAATATTGAAGAATCGCATTGTGACATTGCATGATATAAATTGTTCTTGTCTGTTACTGACCAGACAGTTTATTCGTGATATCTTCATTTTTCATTAAATCTCTCTCCCTCTCTTCCCGATAGAAATCAACCTGGCTGTAAATATCACTGTCGTCACTTGGAGTGGCTCTGTGGTCAGCGAATTGTTCAGTCAAACCGGTATCACCTAGATCACCGTCGGGTGTCAACTGTTCGTACGACTCGGAGCCGCTTCTAAAAGTTACAGACATACTGCTTGACATTAGACTTTGAGTCACAAATATATTTGGATGTTAATAGATCTATACACTTGGTTTACTAAAGAGCCACTTCTAGAATAGTTACCCGTCATCCGGTGTTTGAAGGTGATAGCTCTCATGTCGCGGTGGTGGCATTGGATGTAAAGCTGAATATTCTAGAGTGCCTTCTCCACTGTCATTCAAATTTCCTGGCTCCTCCATGTTAAACGCCTGCTCGATCTCCGGTTTCTTCTCCCATACCACTTTGAAGAAGGGTGTGTAAAATGCGGCTGCACATTACAAAATGATTCGTTAGGGAATGAGTTTGCTAAATACCAAAATAAAAACTGGAGTTTCTTACTTTTTTGTTGACAACTGGATGCGGATGTCATGAAATGTGCCTCCAATTTATCCGCAATTGCATTTCCCTCTGTGATAAGCAGATGACTTAAGTCGTTACTAAAGAAGGCATTCGCACCGCCAGTATCAGTCACAGCCATTATTTGAATCGGCAAATTTGGTATATTGGTGGAAAAAGCACTACAAGACAAAACAATATACATGATAAAAAAAATACTTGCAAAATATATTTTTTTTTTAGATGCGTAAACGGCGTGATACGAGTAGATACATACTTTAAAGTCGCGAGAGAGGCTTTCCGCTTTGTAGAATAGACGAGTATAAAACCATGTACTAATTCATCTCTAAACGCATTGGCTCCGTGAAAACTCGAGATAATAACTTCAACTCGACGTTTACATTCTCCCAAAAACGTTTCCAAAACTATAGATCTATCTCCACTGAGAAAACAGCATTGATGATTGAGTAAAGGGCCGAGAACATTTTCTACTGAATAAGGATCGCCGCAGAACATACACATTATTATTCTGAAATCAAACGTTAGATAAAATATATATATCTATAAATTAACTAATTCAATGTAAATATTACAATTAATAGTTTACCTAATATCAGGCTCCAAACATTCAATAACGCTTTGATATATATTTAAAAAACCAGCTCTGTGATTTATGGATTGTATAAGTTGTTGCAAAGCGTCCTTTACTAATGAAGTTGGAAACCTTTTATGCTTCTCCTGCTCCAGATCATCTATGCAGACATCGATAAACGGACACTGTAAACTACAAAATTGATAAGATTATTATACGCTTGACAAATTTTAATTTGTGTAATTAATACAATTAATTCAGTATTAAATTATATGTATTCTGTACATTTATTTTTTTTGAAATACTAAAAGCATCTGACTATATCTATAATAAAATAATAGTCTCTAACTTTTTCTTTTTTTTTTTTTATATACATTGAAGTATACATAAGAATTAATTAATCTTTTTTATATACAAAAGAGATAAAAATTATTCCAGATATGAATAACTCATTCTGTGTAGTAAAGGACAAGAAAATTATGTCTATTAAGGATTAATATACCTGTCGGCGAGATTTTGTCCTTCTTCTCTGAGCTTCATGGCCTCCATTTCATCAATACTAGCTTCTGGTATAAACATTATTACAATGGGTAATCCTTGAAATGGTAATCTGTCCTCTTGTTCTAGATTTGATAACAAGGTTTTCTCTAAAGAAGATCGAATGTATTCGAATGAATCTTCATTCGAGTAAATACAAAAGGATCCTAGAACAAGAAAAGTACATCCATTGTTGCAGATAATATTTTTGCAACGTATAGAGGTGCAATCAGGAGGATATTCACCATGTGGCATAAAATCGGAGGTAGTGAAAGAATTATGCGGCAGTCCAACATCGCCGTCTATAATACGATATCCGAGGGTGTAGAGTTGACAATCTATTTCCACTTCATCATCATCTGTTTGTGCCCTTATTTCGCGAGCAAACTCTTCGCTTAGCCCGTTACTTCCAAGTATAACTAAATTTAACTGATTGTTGTCCGACGTTAACTGCCACTGACTACTGTGATTCCATGAGGAAGGTCTGTTAGAACGTTTTCAGAGTTGTGTTATGAAATAATTCCATACTATGTAATCATGCATGACAAAATATTGACTTCTTCACCTGTGTGCTTTCGTTCCGAGTATTCTTTCTATAAGTGCGTCCATGCAATTTGGATATGCAGGACAATGCTCCCTTATAGGACAATGTACAAATCCCAAATGTTGAAACAACATTAACTTTCTATCTTGATCTAATCTATCTAACGCTTTATATCTAAAAGTATAAAAATTGAAGTTGATTTATACAAAAATAATAGTTTTTTTTTTCATATATAAAATTAGAAAACGATAATTTATTTAAAAATATAGTATATCCAGTACATAACATACCTAAAATCATCCAATAATGCATCTGTAATTTCTTTTATATCATCTTGTGTAATAGTTCCCGAAGGAGCTATACTCTTGAAATGATAAAATAAATCAGCATGTTCCAACAATAATTCCTGTAACGTATTATAGTACTGATTGCATGTATTCTGTATGATAACATATAACACAATAATGAACTTATTGCAAACATCTTACTTGAAAATTGTGCTTTGCTTTTTCAATAATTTCTTTTTGATGCTGATCATAAATTTCTTGGCAATCATGATGAGAAAGCTCTTCAAAGCATTCCCTACCCATAAATAAAACTCTAACTTCAGATAAGTGTTTTCCAGGTGTAACATAACCAGTTTCTTCCAACAATTGTTTAAATTGTTTCTTCCACCTAATGGAAATTAATTGTAATTGACAGAAAAGAAATTTAAAAAAAAACTAGGCATGTCAAGGACATAATATCAAATGACTATATCATGCCTAACTGTGCCTAATTATTGTTATTGTTAATATTTTATTATTACAAAAGCCTGTTATATTTATGACAGAAATTAATAATTTACTGCAATATACTGAATATATTAATGTAATAAATATTTTGTTCGATCTTAATTTTCTTAAATTATCTTTGAAATTCATGCATTATAAGTAAATTGACTTATTAAATCCTAAGACAAATATTGATTTCCGACCATAAATATCTTGAAAATCTATCGTTCTACGTAATATATAAGCTTACACTGTTATATAAAAATATTAGCACAGTAAATAACAAAGAATATTTCCGACCCAAATACATATAGTATATCGTTAACAAAAAAGCAAGTGTAGAAAGCAGAAATTACCTTTTCGGAAGTCTGTACAAAGAAACGCCACCCAGAATAAAGCAAAGCATTAGTAACTTGCACGTAAATATTATTAGAATATTCTATACTATTAAATAAAATAATAAGTTAATTATTAATTAGCTATCCATCAGTTGTATGAAGAACATATATGAACTTATTTCTACAATATTTATTTGTTAAAATGGCTGGACTCAGTTCTGTGAAAATAAACTACTAAATAACTTACTCCAGTCGCCGTTGCTCTTGCTGTAAAGCATTTATATGATTTTTAAATACGGTTTCTGCTTCAGGAGTCTCCAATACATCATATGGAATTTTCGTGCCGTTGTTTTCTCCAAAATCACAATCAATCCACGGTATGTCTTCGGGACATTCATAGAAATATTGATCAAAATCAGGATGCGTCTTTATGTATTGTTGTACTACCGACCATTCTCTGCAAAACAGTACCTCAGTAACCAATTCGTAAGAGGTTTTGTAAAAAAAAAAAAAATAATAAAAACTATTATTCACATTATCAACTTACTCATTAATTAAATTCGATATATCTGGACAAATTTCATGAAGTATATCTGGTAACATATCTAAGTAGCCTTGTATTTTTTTCGCTATCTGTTCATCTTTCAACTTCTTAATATGCCTTCTGAATAATCTCTGCGTCGTTTCGATACCGAATAACTCTACAAAAGTGGAGAATTCCTTGAGTTGAGCGAGTTTCTTCGAAGCCTGCGACCACAAGGCGCGATAATCGGTTACGTGTATTCGGATCAATCTCTGTAACGATTCCGTCGATGCATCCAAAAGTTCCTTCCTGGCTCTGGCTGCCTCCGCGAATGGTACCACTTTACTACGCATTTTCGTTTTGTCAATTAACTGCGCCAGAATCATGAACGCCAAATCCACGTTGATGTTCTCGTGCGCCGAGGTTTCGATGGTCAAAATCGATCCCTTGTATTCTTTGCGCATTATCAATTTTTCAGCCTCTTTGACAAACTGTTCGTTCGCATCATCGTTTTTGGTCGTTACCAGCACTATCGACTTTTTCGTCTTCATCAAATTGTTCAAGATATTCGCCACAATCTCCACCTGCTTCTCTATTGCCCTATTCGGCACGAGACTCACGTCAAACACGCACAAAAATCCGTCAATGTTCAATTTACCATCAGGTAGAACTTTCTGTTCGTATTCTTTCTCTATGCCCAGCTGATTTTTACAGATATACATGAGCTTCTCCGCGCTTGTAATCTTCGTAGCGGCGCATCTCTTCGCATATGGTTCCATTTTACCGCCTTTGAACGGCTGAAACGACGCATCGTCTATAAATTCCGTGTGCTCTATGACTTGAAACTGAAACTCCGTCCCGTCCTCCGCCGTTTTCATCACCTCGCCCCAGTACAGGAAGTGGTCATTGTTCACCACACGTCCGCTGAAGTCAGACTGCAATAAAATGTTCGATCATCAAAACGTAAAATAAAAGAATTATCGATATATTGCAGATATATATATATATATATATTACACCTTAAATTAGTTGTAAAGAATTCCGTAAAATCCTTTATAATCAAAACACGCACAACAATTGATCGTCCATATTCTTTTGTATGCGCATCTTAATTATGTAAAAAGATTTTGCAAATCTCTCTGTACAAAGTTAATTCAAAGAAATTTATATACTTGTAATGTGTAATGTGTCGATAATTTCTTCCATTTAAAATCTCTAAAATGATGTATAGGAGATGCAAATACCTGCGACAACACGGAAATATGCTCGACGTTGTAGTCATCACTCATGGAACGCATAAAGCGATTACATAGACACGACTTGCCGACGCCGACCTGTCCCTTGTCCTTCTCCGTGCCGGAGAGCCCGACAACCGCGACGTTAATGCTCTTTGCGTTGTCACTTTTTCTCGCCATGTTTAGCACGCGACGTTATCGCTCGTAGAAAATGTCAAAATAAACTTTTTCCTTCTTTTTACGTAAATAGCGTTGCTCAAGACATAGCGAAATGCCACCGGAAAAGTTTGCTACCAATACAGATTTGTCTTTATACCTTTGGTCATATTCTACCCTTCAAATCTAGAGCTTTACGTAGAAAATTGGTTCAATCTCCCTTTGGTAACATCTCTAAACGATTTGAATCACAATTCGCTTACTCGCAAAGATGAATTTTGGACTTTATGTACAAACATCTACGCGCGACTGATTCCCTCCGGATTTCTCATCCGTACGATTATCTTTACTCTATCGTGAAGCTTTTACGGTAGAGAAATGCGATTAATAGTATTATGTCATTAAATATAAATAACACAGAGCTTGAAAACCCTTAAACACTATCTATCGTTAAGCATAGCGTTTATAGTTTAGCACAGCTGTGAGCAATGGTTCTTTGGAATGGCACTGTGTATCTGAAAAAAAGAAGAATAGAAAAAACATACATATTTAGAGAGTTCTCATCTCAATTGTCCTTTACAGTGTATAGCAACTATTTTAATACAGTTTCAGATTTACACACAATTTTTAATTATTTTTCGTATCATCTATAACAATATTTTAGACACCATCACAGATTTAAGAGAGTTCCTCTATCAATCATCTTCCATAATCTGTAGCAACTATTCTAGTATCTCTCCTGTCAACAGTTTTATTTAATGTGTAGTAATCATAGTCTGAGAGTTAAGCACAAATTTAGAAAGTTCCTGTAACAATTAACCTTCATATTTTCATAATCTGTAACAACTACTTTAGTACATCGTTTCAGGCTTATGCATACATTTAGAGAGTTCCTTTATCAATCATCTTTCATAATCTGCAGCAGCTATTTTAGTATAGTTTCGGATTTACGTACAAATTTAGAAAGTTTCTTTATCAATTATCCTCCATAATCTCTAACTACTTTGGTACACCATTTAGACCTACGCATACATTTAGAGAATTCCCTTATCAATCATCTTTCCAAATTCGCATTAACTATTTATAGTATATATCGAGTGAGATTTACAATTTGGAGTCATAACTTTAGAAAGTTTTCTTATTACAAATTTAGAGAGCTCTCTTATAAAGAGAGTATTATTTAATCTGTAATTACTTTAGTATAAAATCTCAGATTTATATACATATTTAGAAAGTTCCCTTATCAATTACATAATTTCATAATCTGTAGCAACTACTCTCTTTAGTATAAAATCTTAAATTTTACGTACAAATTTAAAGGGTTCACTTATCAATCACCTTTTCTAATTTAAAGCGATTATTTCAATACACCGTCTCAAATTTATGTATAAGTTTAAAGAGCTCTCTTATCAATTATCTTTCATAATCTGTAACAACTACTTTAGTATACCGTCTCAGATTTATGCTCCACCGTGTATCTCTTAAAATACATCTATGAATCATACATTACCGCTGAAAGAGCTATTCACAATAGCTCGGTTTCATGCTAATTGCATCAATATACATCGACAATGGGTACAATTGTGAGAAAGCCAGATGTCCATCGAATAAGTCAGTCCTTTCCTAATCGATAGCAACAAATAAGCCGCGATTGACGGAAACCCTTCACGATTTTCACTTCTAAAGAATCAAGCACGACATGCGAAATATTCTCGATGATCCGTTCCCTTTTAGATCGCAACGGATTACCACGTAATTCGCTTCTACATTCATCGCGAGGTTCGCGAGGTAGGAACTCCGTTTTTCCGTAGTTGCGGAATACGAGAACGTCCGCGTGTGTTAGCCGGTTCTCGCGTTCTACCTGTACTTTTCCCACACTCTTCGCAGGTTTGGAGTACAGAGTGGACGTACACTCGACGTTTGGCGAAAGTGAGAGAGAAAACGAGCGGGGTGCAGAGAGTGCAATTAGGACGAAATACATCTAATAGATTTGCTCGCCCTGGGTTCACGTTTTATACCAAACCCCTTGATCTTCGATTTAACTTACTCTTTTCACCTCTTTTTCTAAGAATTCGAAAAGGAGTAACTTAAACCGAGGTTCAAAGTCAATCTACATTGGTAGAAAATGGACATCGTAACACTTTCTTGTGTATTCTGAAATAGGATAAGTATATACTCTCTCCCTCGGCACTCGGAAGAGAAGAACAGAGGGAGAGAGCAAAAACTGATGGAAAGTACAATAAAGAAAAAGGACTCTCTGATGAAAGCGTGCGAAAGTGAGCCAACTGGAGCCAACGCGTTGCGCGAAGTTACGTGCGTTAAATCTGGCAGGTCCCTTTCCCTTTAAATCGCATTATATACCCGTTTCTATTAATGTATATTAACTGGTATAATCTCAGGCTCTTTCATCAGTTCATTCTAATTCTTAGAATAGAAAAAAGGATGAAGAGAGTTGATAGAGAGAGCCGAGATTAAAAATTAATACTACATTATAAAAGTGGGCATTTTATACCGCTTTTTTGCGCCCCACGTGAAAAGGAGCGCGCGATCCCAGTGGGGGGAGGGGACACACGGGGAGATGGAAGCACCACGTCGGTCGGCGCATCTCCACGCATGGATACCCCGACTTCGGGATAGCAAGGGGGAGACGGGTCGAGCGCGTAGGCAGGGTGCAGATGAGAAACGAACGAACCCCCCCGGCCGCGAGATCTCCGCAGTTCGAAACCGACGAATCTCGCCTACTCCAGCGTGTCTCCAATGACAGGTTTCAGATCGATATATGCACTTGTATACAACTGACGACGTGACGACGACGATGACGAAGTTATCGTCTCTCTCTCCCAAGGACGTCGTCCGGGAAGGGGAGAAGGGAAGCGACGAGCAGGCAGGAGACGCAAGGAGACGCTGTGCTGTCGCTCTCTCCATCGTCATCGTCGTCGCTGCGTTTCGCAGGGATGTAAAAACACGACGAGGTGCGAGGACAACACACGGTGAAGGGCTACCTGAGTAGTATAAAGGGGGAAGCGCACAAGGGCTGTCTCCTCGGAGGGGGCGCTGACTCGATCCACCGTCGACGGAACCCCGGCCGTACAGGCGCGTGGTCGCGCTCGTTGGTCGTTGCAGCTGTCGTCGTCGCCCGGGACCCTGGGGGGGGGGCACACAACCTCGCTCCTCGGCGACCGTGTGGTATATTGTCCGGCTCGGCGCGACTCGGCGCAGCGCGCGGCACGACACGGCGTTTGACGTTGCGACGGTGTGACGTTTAACTTCCACACCGTTGACGCGAGCCGCGACCGCGAAAACGTCGGAGGCTCTACCACTAGGCACGCGCGGCACCGCGACGCAACGACGCAAGCGACACGGGGCTCTGGGTGCACGTCACCCCGAGATAGCGGCGCGAGAGATCCCAGGTGTGTAAATAACTTCACGTCAAACACCGAGTCCGAGTGTCGCCCCGTAGAGGAGCCATCTTGCTGGGTGGGCACGCATCGGCGGCCGCCGATGTTTTCCGCCTGGGCAGTACGGTCGCCAGTGGTCAAGCCCGGACACATTTCTGGTAGCATTTCTCCCTTTGTCTCCCCCTGCGAAGTAGAGAGGGACGGGGGGGAGGAGGGAACTATTATCGCTCACAGTAGCTGTGAACAAATCATTTGTAATACAAATAATAATTTTGTATTTTCTTTAAGCGATAAGTAATGATATATTTTATTTGTGATATACACGTAATATAAATAATAATTCCACTACTGTAAATACGCACCTATAATTTTTATTTTAAAATTAGAATTATTTTTTCGTTTATAGCATATTATATCTTTCCAATCTAAAATATAAACCTCATCAAATAATTCCGAGTGTATAAAATTAAAAATATATTTAAAGGAACATATATATGATCGGTTTGAGTATTTTATCTATTAATAAAATTAAATTTTTTAAATTACTACTATTATTTATTATGTATAATAGGTATATATTAGAAATTATGTGTATAATAAATTATAAAGATATAAGTATGTTTATTTTTTATTTGGATTTGGACTTACTTTTTTTTCTTTGAAAGATAAAATATATAATTTAATTCATTTTAAATAGATATAAATTGAAATAACATATATTAATTTTTAAGATTACTTTGGGAAAATTCGGATTAATTTAATCGGTGAATGACTAAAATATAACGTAATGCCCGCAGTATTTTATTAATATTAACAAAATTAATTATTCATTTTTTTGCCAGCTTCGTGAAAAAACTCTTTTAGTAAAATTAAATATACTATTATTGGATTAATAATGAAAAGTTGTGCAATATATACTATTTGAGTTAAATAGTTTTTCAAATATTCCCAATAATTTTTTGCAGGTTCAAATAACATTTTTTTATAATGAAAAGATTTAAATTATAAAAGTCTACAAATTTGTATAATTATATATATATTTTTCTATATTTTTTTATATTTACCAATCGAGATCTGCAAAATATAACAGTAAATTATAGAATGTATTAATATATAAAGGAACTCAGTAAAGTCAACATTTATATTTATAATAAAATATAATGTTATAATTGAAGTAATATTTTTATTTATCTTAATTATTTTTCAATAATATAAAACATTTTTCGCTTTCGTGCAATTGTTTTATTTAATTAAAATACATGTAATTCTTTCTTCTGTAAAACCGAATTTAATTGAAGTAGCCTAAAATATTGACCGTAGCGATGCACAAGATGGGACACAGAGGCACCGTGAACGTAGCTACGAGCCTGAGCTGCGCGCGGCCGTACGGAGTGCCGCCTGGCGGCCGATTCGGCCGATGTCGCGCGTGCCGTGCATTCGAAAAATGGCCGACAGCGGGGACGTTGTGAACAGCACGTCGTCCGGGAAAGAGGTGAGAGGTACGATCTCCGATGGCCCGGTCACCGATCCAGCGTCCAGCATGAAGGTAAATCGAGCCAGGCTTCAGTCTAACCTAAAATCTCATGCCGTCCTGCACGCTCCGAACGATGTTCGCGTCAATTTGAC